GTTCTGGCCGACAGTAAGGGGGGTATTCTGTACAACGCGTTGGCTAGCTAGAATGCTGGCCATCTGCCGTACAGTAGCAATACGGGGCGGCATGCTATGCTGGTCTATTAATAGAATCCTCTGTACAAGAACCTCTTCTTATACAGGTGTAAGACGGCGATTTTTGGAGATAGCACCGCGTTGTGGAGGAATACCACGGGCGCAACGCGTAACCGTCTTTCTGGGCACATTGTATAGTTTTTCAACGCCTTGGAAGGATGTAATTTGGCCGGTCTTGTAGGCTTAAACGCCTAGAATAACTCTGCCTTCTTGAAAGATGGCTTCTTGTTGTTGTGGTGCTGCTATTAGGGTGGTTGTTGGACAACGCGTTGCGTGTTGAGTTGGGTGGGCCACTAGCTTGTGCGGGCCACTAACTTGTGGATTACGTTATACTTAGTTAATTTAGCCTTTAATTGAATTTAGCTCCAGCTTCTGCACCCTAATAAGTTCTGCTAGGAATAATATTAAGAATCCTTGTAAAGTAACAGGTGCGTGCAATTAAATAGCTAACCTTTTTAAGTTCGGCTGGCCCGCTTAAATACGGCTGGCCTCTTAATTTAGGCAGCCTTTTAAATTAGCTAGCTTTTTTAAAGTTAGCTAGCCTCTTTAAAGTCGGATAGCCTCTTTAAAATTAGCTAGCCTTTTAGAATAGCTAGCCTTTTAAATTGGCTAGCTACTAAAATTGCGGCTGGCCGTTCTGGCATAAATACTCTAACCTAATATTTTTATGCTGCTAGTTTCTGCAAAAGTAACCTTTATAAGTTACTTTAAGCACCTCTTTAACCTTATATAATACGCTTTAGGTAGGCTATAGATCTTAGTATAGACAACCTGCCTCTATACTTCTCCGCTCGAGTAATATTAGGAATATAATGTTGGGGGCATAGTAATGCATATCTACTAGGAAATTTAACGGCAGGTTAGCTACCTAAATAGCTTAGGGAGAGTCTGGTGTAGAGTTAAATCGGCCCAATCCTATTAGGGCACTTATCCTGTTTAGCGGCTAGTGTTACACCTATCTGCAGTTTAGTTAAGAGGGGAGTGCGGTCCCGTACGGGAGTATTGGGTTATAAGAATACAGGAAACGGGAGGGAAGTGCGGTCCTGTACGGGAGCATGGAGTGTGCTGCGAGGGGTAAGCGGAATCCTGAAAAAAGTTAGCAATCGCGTTCCCGTACGGGAGTATGGAGTGCAGGGCATGGTTCCCGCACGGGCTCGGTTCCCGCACGGGCTCCCGCACGGCGCAAATAGTGGAAAAATCCCGTCCCGTAGGGGATTGGATCCTGTGGGGGATCGGATCCCACAGGGGTTTGGACGCCACAAGGGGTTGGGTCCCGTAGGGGATTGGACGCCGCAAGGGGTTGGGTCCCGTAGGGGATTGGACGCCGCAAGGGGTTGGGTCCTGTAGGGGATTGGACGCCGCAGGGATTAGTTCCTGTAGGGGATTAGTTCTTGCACGGACTGATTCGCGCTTCTATTTCTGGATATCGTCCCGCCCACTCGGTGCCGTACGGGAAGTGTGCGGCGAATATAGAAAACACAAGGGAACGCGGTCCCGTACGGGGTTTTTAAGTGCCCGTGCTTGCTCCTGCGTGAATAAGAGCCCTACACTCCATAATCCTATATCTACAGGGATAACATTTTTCAGCATTCCTATTGCCCCTGCACTCTATACTCCCGTACGGGGACACAGATTGCCCAAAACATATCAGAATTCTGCTATAGTCCCTTACGGCACCACAGGCTACCGATATTTTCAGGATTCTGCGTGAGCCGTACGCTCTATAGTCCCGTACGGGGTTGCAGGACGCCTGCGTAAATGGACGCGCTCCTTTCCAAGGCTGAGTCACTAGAATTAGAAGCAGTATTGCCGAAACGTCCTATACGGGATGCTTAGATAAACAAAGAATGCTATTAAAGTTATATTGCCGAAAGGGAGGCGGCCCACAGGCGGATTGTGCAAGCTAATGGATCGTTAATCGATCGTGCCGATTGTGCGTGCTGATTAGTCGATATTGCTGACTTTTGCCGCATATAACACTGCTGACTTATTCCGCACATAATCCTGCCATTTGCGGACTCTAGGAGTTCGCACAGCGCCGGTGGACCCGGTTAGATGATTTCGTAGTTATTATTCTGCGACTCCTTGTAACTTAAGTGCCTTGCTTTCTAAGTGGTTAAGTTTCCGGGCGTCTATTTATAAACACATCTAGTCTAATATAAGATTAGTGGGGGCATCCCAACAAACTATTTCTTGTATAATGCCCCGAAGGGACTTCCTTCTCTATATAAAGTAGGGAACCTGATGTCGGAGTTACTTGCAACGTATTCCACATCTAGGAAGCCCTTAACTATAGTGACAAGCGCGCACCCCTAGCGGTGCCCCGTCCTCGACCGAAAGCAATGCAGATAATACTGTAGCTCCCACCCTAAGTTTTTTCTAGACATCGTTCTGCTCCCGCTTTCTGTTCTCTAATACTCGGGTTGTAACAGCTACAACCTAGGATCAACAACTTATACGGTTCACGGTCACCTACGTACAGACTTGGAGCTGCTGGTATAGTAGCTGCCTATATGCCTAGCCAGTTACAACTTCTACAGAGAGGGGTTAGGGTACGGTGGCCTACCCTGCCTAATGCTACCTACTGCTGCCTCTAATTAGTGCTTCTGCCTATGCATACAGTTACTTCCTACGTAGTATATAGTTTGGCCTTCGGGCCCCCGAAATAAGACAGAGTTTACATCAATTTTCAACCTGAGTCTAATCATGCAGGAACAGGATCTCGCTACCTGGTACTAATCCCTTGTGACAACCGATTGGCTGTTACTATTGAGCTAGTCTAATATAAGATTAGTGGGGGCATCCTAACATAAAGTCTCTCTGCAGATGCCCCTTAATAAGATTTATGATGATGATAGTGGTGACCAAAAGGCGCCAAGTGTGTAAGAAGCGTGCGAGCTGGGGAATCGTGCAAGCAGGTGGATCGTACGAGCAAGCGGATCGTGTGAGTAGGCGGATCGTGTGAGTAGGCGGATCGTGTGAGTAGGCGGATCGTGCAAGCAGGTGGATCGTGCGAACTAATGGATCGTGCGAGCTACAGTAATGGATCGTACGAGCAGGCGGATTGTGCGATCGTTCTGCTCGTGCGATCATTTTGGACGTGCGACCGTTTTGCGGCCATGAGAATCGTACGGGCATGAGAATCGTACGGTCATGAGGATCGTACGGGCATGGGGATCGTACGGCCATGAAAATCGTACGGCCATGAGCATGGCCATGAGAATTGTACGGCCGTGAGAATCGTACGGCTATACGGTCGTGCGATGGGTCCTGCAAGCAAGTAGTAGTGCAATCGCAAATGGCGCTGACTCATGCTGCACGTGACTCTGCCATTTGCGAACTCCTGGAGTTCGCAAATAACACTGCTGACTTGTGTTGCACGTGATTCTCGTCTGGGACACATTTCGTCCTAGAGCATACTCTGTTCTAGCCTATCTGTTCTAGGACATATTCTATTCTAGAATACTTATCCTGGGATATATTCTGTTCTAGTATACTTATTTTAGTATATATTCTATTCTAGTATATATTCTATTCTAGTATACTTATTCTAGTATATATTCTGTTCTAGTATATATTCTATTTAAGTATACTTATTTAAGCATATATTCTATTCTAGCACACTTATTATTACGCTTACGCTGGCAATTATAATACTTTAGCGTTATAGGCACCTATACTATAGAGTACCTACTGCTTAAGTAATATAGTAGGTTACCAGGCTTCTAAGTATAGACACTATTTATACTATAAGTATATAGTACTATACTATAACTAAAGCTAGTTTTTTTCTTACCTTTTTAAGTATTAACTTTATTTAAATATATAGCTTCCTATCCTCTTTTTTCTAACTTTTACTACTTAGAAATATAACCTTACGCAGTTATTATATATAAGGAATTAACAGCCAGCAGGAAGAAGTAAAGTTCTTATTTACCTCTGTATTAAATATATTCTCTTTTAGTACTATACTAGTTTTTATCTATATAAGTTCCTTTATATTTTTATAATTCTAAAACTTATATTCTGTTCTACTTTTTCTTTAGCCAGGTCTATTCTAGTATATATAAAGCTAGAAAAGCACCTAGAAAAATAACTCTAAATTATATATAAAGTTATAGTATTTGCTGTAAAAAGTACTAATCGCTATAAACACCTTAGTGCCGGTTTTGCTCGGCGCGCCCGATGCCTTTTTACGGTTAATTTTAATAGCAAGGTTAAGGTTAATTAGGAAACTATTATCTTTATTCTTCTTAAGCATAATATTTCCGACTAATATATTGCAATAGAGGATGTTTCTTTCCAGCAATAATTTATATCCTAAAATAGTTAGCTAAAGTTAAAAGCCTGTCTAATTAAACTAACCTTTTATTCCCCCTAAAATCCCGTTTATTATAGCTACCAGCGAGCTCGCATTATATATACTCTTCCTAACACGTCCTATTATTAGCTAATAATAAACTCGGTTTCGCCGCAAGCTATTCCCTTTAGTAGAAGAATCTAAATATAACTGTTTTAGAGGTTGTATAGACTAATAATAAGAGCTAAAGCGCCTTTTTCGCGTAATACTATTGCTTCTGCCTTAACTGCTTATAAGCCTCTCTAATGCCGGAGCTTCGGGCTTAGGGAATTCTATAAGTAGTTGGGAGTTTAGGTGTCCTTATAGTAGATACCTCCTGTTCCTATCTCTAAGCCCTTTACGCAAGTTATTACGGATATTAATAACAGCACCCTTATTATAAATAATTTTGTAATAGTAATACTCTGCTATATTTTTCACGCCTGTATCCGTTACCTTTTTAAGCAGAGGCCCCTTTTCCGGCCGCTTTTTAAATTCCCAGGAGTCTTTAATAATAAAAGGCTGGCCGGCTGTATTATAAACTTCCTAACAGCTTATTACTTAACCTGCTATATAATACTGCCGCTTTATAATATTATCTAGATAATATTGCTCCAGTTATATATTCTGCGTGATTTTAATATACTTGCTGCCCTTTTCCCCGCAGATAGTAGGGTTAAACCCGAGGTCCTTTAGAGCTATCTATAGATATTCTAAAACTACAGATATAAATATTAGCGCATTCTTATATATATTAAATAACTGCAATATAACCGCTCCGAGTTAGTTAAATACCTAGAGCCGTATAATAGAACCGTAGAGTATAAAGCTAGTAACTAATTATCGGGTATCTTGCGCGGTAAAGATTTTACAAGCATATTAAGAAAAATCGAACCAGGTGCTGCTGTAGTTATCCTTTTGCGGGTTGCTCTTTAGCTCGCCTAGGATAAGAACGTTAAACTAGTTACAGGGAGCACTATTATTAGACATTTTATTCCGCTGGCTATAGATAATACTAATATCTAGCTTCCGTTTGCTAATAAATCCGGGGATAGGCTTATTCGGTATAGCAAAGCACCGCCGACGCCTCGGAGGTTAGAAGCCTTATTTATTTATAAACTGGAGAAATTGGTTAATATAGTAACAGAGCTAGTGCAGTATATCGGGCTCTGTATAATCCTCCGGCTACTCCGCCCAGCCAGTATCGTCCGTATATAGAAGTATTTCCGCTTCCTTATATCGCCTAAATATAGCTGCGGCTATTTTACTAAGCTATAGAACTCTGCTAAAAAATATATTAAAAAAGTATAGGTGGTTAATAATAAGATTCCCCTCTAGTTCGCCTTTTAGAATTAGATTAATATCCTTCCTTAGGTTAGATATATCCGCAAAACTGCCTATATTAAAAAACTAAGGTATCTATTAGAATAACGCGGTAAAGGAGGCAGCGGATTAAAAAGGGGTTATTAGATAGAGGGTAGGTCTTATCCGCGTAATAAGGTTAAGCACAGCGCTCTATATTTTTATATCTTCGGCTTAAGCAATAACAGATTCTATAAGCTTAATAGCCTGCCTAATATTAAAAGTGTTTAAGGTAACCTGTAAACTAAGATTAAAAAGGTTTCTGCTAAAAGGTCCTGTCCTATTTTCTAAGGTAAGAATAGAAGCAGCTGGGAGGTTCAGCAAAATTGCGATAAGTTTAAGCACTAGATGTTTTCCGGCTATATTTATTAGCTATATTATAAATATATTAACAGCGGCGCTTATAGGAGTTTATAACAAGCTGCTTAATATAGTTCAGCGCGTTTTTAACGCTGGCACAGGAACTTATTAAGGTATTGCGAAACAAATTAAGTTTATTTTTAATAGGGTTTACTCTAATAGCTTAAAGTTAACTTTCTAAAAGTTAAGCTATAGATAGGAAAAACGTATGCACAGCGGTTGCGAAAGCGCGAAGGGAAGCTCGCTTAAGGCTTAGTTATAGGCACCACGCTATTCCTTAAATAGGTTACTGCGCCTTATAATATTATAGTAAAGCAAATTAATATTATTACGGTGTTTTCTACTTACTATAACCCTCTAAGTGCTTATAGAAATTGCCTAGTATTATTCTAAACGCACGTATAAAAAAGCTGTATTTAACCGCCTACGCCCTTAGCTGCTATTAAAAAAAAAAAAAAGGCCGTAATATTACGCACTGGATTATTGCCGTCGATAACTAAGGCCGGCTATAGCAAGATGCGCTCCCTATTACTAAGCGCCAGCGGGTGCTGCCTAGCCTCTAGACTACTTGCAATAATTAACTATAATAATTAAACCCTATAATATATAATATAGCTAAAGTCTCTCTAATATATTATTAATTAGATTCCTTTAAAAAAGGATATAGTAACAGCGAAGGAAGTAGTAGTACTAATATAATAAAAGGGGCGACTAGTAAACGCAGATATATAACTAAGCGCAGCTAATGCGTTCTCTAAAAATATGCCTTTATCCCTGCGCTTAGATTATTTTTATACTTAGTATTGCCTTTAAAAAAGAAAATAGCTATAAAGGCGGACCTAGTCTTACTAATACTAATTACCTAATCCTCTAGTATAGCCTTATACTAAGTAGCTTAGTATATTACAGCCTTAAAAATAATAAGCAGTGGAATTATATACCCTAATATATTAATACACTTAATAGCTGTTACCTACTATTAGTTGCCTTACTGCACTGTCTAAAGCTGTCCAGCTCGGTTAGTTCCTATAATAACTTATAACTCGAAAGAGTTATAATAGGTATCTAGCCCTTTTCCAATAGATTTTGTCTTAATAATTTTTAATTTTATCCTATCTACTATCGCGTAAGAAACTGTAACAAACGCGCTTAAGTAGCAGTTAAAGTATAAGGCGGGAGTAGGAGGAATGCTAGAAGTCTATAAAAATAATAAATTATAAGCTCTAAAAGTATTCTAATAGTAATACTAGTGTTTTAAGGATAAAAAAGTAGGAAAGATAGAGGAATATAAGAAACGCCGACCTATTATATAGATAATACTAAGTTAGCCTTTCTATAGAACAGAGTAATAGTGTTAATCGGTATATCGATTCGCCGGTACCTAATAAAGACCGCCTACGGCGGGGTATATAGCAATAAGGCTATAGAATACTTACTATATCTTTAATATTAAACTTTAATATCTATTCTAATAATAAGCACCTTCTAAACTTACTTACTCTTATAAGGAAATAGTTAGAGCAGGTTAGCTACTTTTCCTGCTTTTTTATAATAGGACTTATAATTGCCCTGTTATAGCCTGGCATATATATAGCTTTTTTATTTACTACTAATATAGCTTTTAAGGAGTACCGCACTATATATTTTAGAAGGTATTTAATAGTAAGGCTATACTACTATATAATTAGCCTAGCTACTAGGTTTATAAAACTATAAAGCAGATATTAAAACGCAATATAAGTGTTGCTGCTCCGTAATAAGTTCTATAAGAGTGAAAAAGAATAATAGCAAAAATAGTATTTAGACTTCTATATATATTACCCTATATTTCTATTTCTTTATAGTTGCTAGTATTTTAAGGAGATTTAGAACGTTAAAGCGTTAAAATATTACTTACGTTTACTTATTGCAGTAGACTAGGCTCTGCGTTGCTTACCTTAACCGGGAGCGCTTACTATATTAGCTTAATAAGCTATCTTAATCCAGCGGAATTCCGCCTCTTTTATAAATATATTAAATCGAAATCTCGCCTACCGCCTAAACTAATTTTGCAGAAGTTGCCTCTTCTATAGTTCTTCTAACCGCAAATCTACTGCCCTAAATCCTTAGCTTAGGTTGCGCTTAAAAATAATAATTATTAAAATTATTTGCTGCGTAACAGCGTTCTTAAAGTCGTGTCCTAGAATATTAATTAGCTTAGTCCTAGTCTACTAAATCGCGCTTTAGCAGTATTAGGCTATCTAGAGGAATATTTTAGAACAGTACTAAGTAACCTTATTATAATACCCTAAAAAGTCTGTTATAAATCTTTTTAGGCTATTCTAGAGAATTTATAGGTTTAATAGAACTTTATTTTTACTAATATAGTATTTCCTAACTTTTTCTATATAGATATTCCCGGAGAATTATTTATCTTAAAAACTCTCTACTAGAAAGCAGCACGGTACTTTACTTTTATAATAATACTAAGGTATCTTAGAAGGGTAAATTGCTTCCGCGTTCCTTTTATTACTGCTATAGGGAGAAATACCTTATTTATTAATATTCCGATATCTATATCTAATAGGCGCATATAATTAAAAGGGTTACTTTATCTTTATATAATATATCTAGAGTTACTTTAGAGCGGGAAGGCCTATAGATCGGGTTAACTAGCTATAATTTTAGTATTGTTTAAAGGATTACTAGCTGCAGAGTCTAGAATTATTATAGGCCTTATTAGAGGCAATATAAATATAATTAATCGCTTTAAGCATAAACTATATAAAGCCAGCTATATAGACTTAAAAAATGCCTGGGAGGATATAGCAGCGCTGCCTATACCGGTATTAAAGCCTTTCTAAAAAAACACCTTTTATAGCTAAGCGAGAGGGAATACCTAGGGCTACTATTTAAAGAGCAGCCGCAATTAAAAGCGTATAGATAAATTCTTCTATACTAGGCTAGTGGAAATAGTTGCTTTTACAGAGCTGCAAGATATTACCGGGAGATTAGGGCGAGTCGGTATAGGTCTAAAAACGGAGGTAGAAGGTATAAAAATTAATACCTAGGTAAGCAACCACTTTAGAATTACGGTTAGTATTAGAGTTATTTAATATAATAAGTTGAAATTATATATATAGCTTGTATTTTAGCCAGCGCTCGGAATATTAGCTTCTATATAGACCCTATACTTATTATATAAAAAATTATACAGATTTAATATAGCTGCTGCCCTTTTCTCCGCAAATAGCGGGATAAAATCCGAGGTCTTCTATCTATAAATATCCTAAAACTGCGGATATAAATATTAGCGCTTTTTTATATAACATCCCTCTATAGGTGGCGGAAAACCTACCGTGCCGGAAAATATAAGAGGTACTTTAACT